CTTTTGTCTAACAAAATTTCACATCCTTATTTTAATGACAAAGGATATCCAATTTACATGCTAATCTCCCCTCTGTTCTTGTTACAATGCTTATTATGTAATTGGATTTTTACAGTTTCCTTTGTATCTAAATGAATACCCTCCATCGTTTTGTGCCCTACTTCTTTATATATATAATCCTTTTGTAAAAAGGTTTTGTCTGAACTAGTGCTCTTCCATAGTATTCTTACAACAGCTTTTGACTCACGGTCAAGCAATTTTCTACTCGTTATTCTCCAATAATCCTGCTGATCAACCCTGTATTATATCAATAAAGCGGTAAATTTTACTCTGTGTCCTCACAACGTGTTCGACATCTTCACAAGGTAAGCCTTTAATTAAAGTTCTGTTTAATCCTAACTCAAGGCTAAGCCTTCTAAATCTAAACGACTCGATAAAAGGAAAGAATAATTTTTTCACAACAACATGTCACTTGATGTGACACATTTAGTTCTTAGCTTCCAATAACCAAACTTTGTGTATGTTCAGTGAACGAAACTTTATCCACCGATTTAGAGTACACCGAACTTATTTTCCAAAGATAAGACCACAGCATATCAATGGTACTGTGGTTTGCTTGTTTTTAATTTCAGTTGTATCAGTTTTTAAATTCCAAATTAATATTTATGAATGAAATCCCTATATCTTCTGCAAAACAAGCTGTTTTTTTTTTGTTTGTTTGTCAAATATGATAAAAATCCTATTCAACCTCAGATATTGTTCACGTAAAACTCAATGTAACCAAAACAGCTCACAGTTAATGGCCAAATGTGGTGTAGATCGTCCAGAATCAAGTGTTATCTAATGGCTGTAAAACGATGTCACCCATCAAAAAACGATGTCTCATCATGTATATGCATGTGATGCTCTATTTAGCTTTATTTATCAAATTTATTCTTTGGGGTTTCTTTCTGTGGCATAGCTCAGCGATCACAAACCTAACTTGTCGTTTTGTGAGACTGAAATTCAATTTTATTGTATAATTATTGAAATCAACAAGAATTCCGGAAACTTTCACGGAAGTGAAACTGACAACTTTGGATGATTGGAAGATTCCATGAGGAAAGTTTTTTTCAGTATTGAATAAGTGATTGTAAACTATCTGAAAATCAAAGGTATCTCTTCATCTTCCACGTACGAATCGCCAAGGAAAAAATATCTCAAAACGGATGAATATGCGAAAATAGGGAAGCATCGAATTAAAATGGCTGATACTATCAGTAAATATATTTAGAAATAGCAATAACAAATAGCAAAATTATCCAAAATCTTTAAAACAAAAGTAAGAAGTGGAGTTATTTGAAATTCAAATCCGAGAATAAATTCAAGGATTATTCAAGAGGAAATCATTTCTCAGTGAATCTGATCGGAAAACTTCTTGAAAGAATCTTGCAACATCCACCGTTGGTTTTGCAAATTGGAGTGCGCCATAGTTGTTTTTATTGGAAAAAAATTAAAGGAGATAAGTAATCATAACATTCTGTCGGGATGCTTTTTAAATTTTTTATTAGTAAATCCAAAGTTTCAAGGAATTTTTTTGATATCACAACGCAAATTTCAATGGTATTTCGAAAAATATATGAAAATAATGAAATACTGATAACAGCAGCATGTTCCAGCTGTTTTCCTCTTATCACATTTTTACTTATCATGAATAGAAGAGCAGAAAAAACAGCAGATTATATCAGAAATAATCGATTAAATTCTTGGAATGATATTTGTTATTCTTCAAATTCTGAAGAACATTGCTTGGAGAATTGAAACGGAAATATTTAGCAAGGTAGAAAATTTACACTGAGGAATACGGAACTTAAGATCGGAAATCCCGGATATTGATATGGCGAGCAAATGCCAGAAAACATAAAATGAAAAATCTCAATTCATTTCAATCATGCAGAAGGAAGTGCAAAAAAATAATCCATCGAAACGATGTAAATTTAAGGAATTTATTAGTTTAAAATGTTTACTTTCTATAGATAGAAGTGTATATTAGTACAAACAGATTATAGTAATGACAAATATATGCAAGATTAATGAATAAAGTGAGCAAAATGCATGCTAACATGCATGCTCTGTGAAAGTTTATTGTCGCCATCTGATAATTTATGCAAATATATTAATTCCGATAAATGTATATTTTTCACCATATCACCGTTCATTTGTTATGATTTCAAGACATGAGTGTGTTATTAAATTAAAGATCAACAATGATATGGGTATATAAACCTGATTTTAATCCAATTTCTTGACCTGATTGGAACGTCAACTCTACAAATCAAGTTGTTCTTTTGTTACTCACTTTTTGTTACATTTACTCTTACTTATAAAATCAAGTTTTTAATTCCCTGAACTGACATAACTTTCAAGATTTATTGATACTTTTGCAATAAATGTTGCAGGCAACAAAAATGGACCTTGGTTATTGCATGAGACTGACTTTTTCCTTTTTTTTTCAAAATAAAATCTGCTCTTTTGTGCTTATGCTCACAAAATCAATTGCTAGAACTTTCAACCTGTTCCGGAAATCAAAATGATTCTTACACATTGATATTTTCGAACATCATTTTCACAGCAGCATATTTTGAACTTAAACTTCATGGAAGGTAATATGATAAACATAACTGAAAAAAATTTAAATTCAATGGAAAATTTGCAAATTCTTAAATTATGCAAATAAGTTTATTTGAAGTATAAAAGCTAGGAACGAGTTCAGTTATGTTTATTTTTAATTTTTTTTTTTCTGCAACAAACTTGAATCCTTTCCCATAGCTTTTCGACATCAAAAATGTTTCGACGATTGAAGCAAAATGTATTGGTCAAGTTGGATATGGCAAAACAAACAGAGTTCGTCTTACTTAAGAAAAAGAAAAAACTCGCCTGAAAATATAATTCTAACTTAAATATCTAACAAAAAATGTTCGAAGAAATCTAAGGAAAGAATTATTAATGTTTTATTTAATTTTGATTGAATTTTGATCACTTCAATATGCCTATTACCATAAAATACTCAAAATTGCCACTTCGCCAGTCTTACTTGAAAAATAGAAATTATCGATAAATAATTCTAAAAATATAGCACTTAAAGAAATTTGAGAACTTTTAGATATTTTCAAAGATCTATTTATTGTATTTCTCAAACATTAAGACATTAACCTTCAATGAATTATGATTGGTACTACATTTTTTTTTTGCTTCATCAGAATTAGCATAAACTGATAAATGGTTATGTATATCATCACCTTGTCATCGAATCAATTGAACATAGATGGCATTAAAGTGATAACTAAGTATTACTGATACAACTAAGTAAAGTTTCTGTGAATTACGTCGAATCCGATGAAAAGAAAACATCGTTTACTTTATTTAAGGTTTCCAAATGATGTTACTCGTTCGATTACTTTCTGTGAACAAAGCAAATCGGATGTGACAGCAATTGCGAAGGCTGTTGAAACGATGATTTCAAATTTCAAAGCCACCAGTATGACTCCTGTTGATTCAATAGCTAATTCATGCGATGGTTTGGCTGTTAAAACGAAAAATAAAAAAGTAATGATCGGTTAATTACTACACCTCAATTTTAGCCTAATTACCTAAATTATATTTAATTATTACAGTTCAATAATGTGATGAAAAACGTCAAGGAAACAATGGAGGAAATTGCGAAAACGGAGCATTCAACGGCTAAACGAGTACATACAAGAAATTTCTATTGAAAAGAAACAATTTAAAAATTGACTCAAAAAACAAAAAAATCATTAAATCAAAAAGAAGTTCCTATAAATTCAAAATTGTATAATGACTTTGATGACAGTAATTCGATTGATGTACTGATAGTTCAAAGTGATGTACTTCCCAAAGTATTACTGTAATACACTAATATTTTCCAAATATTTCATTTAAAATTCGAAAAATAAAAGCATTCAATTTTATGCAAATTTTTAAGTTATTTATGAAGAGAAAAGAAACATGAAACTGACTATTATTTTTCCTGTTCCACTTTCAAATATTTGCATGTATTTCAGGTAGAACTAAAATTTATTGAAGCTTGGTCAAGAACATGGCTTAAAGGAAATTTGAAAGTTTATCTCGATGATATCAGTCAGTTGAAAAAGCGACGTCTTGACAAAGATGGTTTAGCTCAATCAGCCAGCAAGTAAATTTCATATATTTCATTGAATAAAATGAATGCTTAGGCTTAAATACTATTTTGTTTGCATTTAATTCTTCAAACAATTATTCATTAATCGATATTTTACGATATTATACAATAGTTTTTGTAGTAACAAATTGACATAAATTTTAGACATCAGGACGATCAGAGTAAACAGCAAAAGAGTAAGGAAGCAGATATGCAGTATGAGGGACAGTTGATGAAAGTTCGACAAAATATTCAAGAATTCAAAATACATTATCAGAGAACTGCGGAGGCAGTGCAAGAACTAATGAACATAATGACAGAACATTTTGATAAATGTGACAACATTACAGCTGACCATTTAAAAAAGGCCAAAAATTAATGAAATTTCAAAAACTATGCTTGACCACTTGCATCTTGCAACTTTGTCGCCATAATAAAATTCATTTCTCAAATTTATCTTATCAGTGTACTATCTTCTAAGGAAGAAAAAATAATGGAAATCATGAATTATCAACATAACGAATTATTTTATACTAAATTTCAGGTTACGTTAAATAGAAATGGTTTATGAGCCAATCAGTTTGATATATTTAGCAGCAATTTTTTGTAAAATAAGTTCAAATATAATATTTGAGTGTAATATTTGTAAATTTTTATAAAAGTAACTGTCTGTTAATCTATTTCGATGATAGTGTCATAAAGTTGTTAAATGCAATTATGATGTGTTAAATACAATCATCGTAATTCAATCAAAACTTTTTGATATTTCAGAAAAAATATAAATTTTAGTTTAATTTTTGGATTGTGCATTGTTTTATTCAATTACTGCATATTGTTTTAATGCCAAAATCTTGCTTTTATATATAATAATTCTTAAATCTCTCCAATCAAAAACTAGCCTCTGACCATTTTGAAAGGTCAACTACTTCATGCATAATCCTTTTCTCTCTAAGCCTCGATCACTTTTAAAATCTAATCATGCAAAGTAATTATGCTAATGGCAATTTTTGGAATTTTTCATTTTCTTCAAAAGTTGACATATTTGATTGAAGATGGTTTATGAAATGTTTAATCGATGTATGTTTCATTATATACTATATTTCTGATTAATTTAGAAGTATTCATCACTGTTAAATTTTTCTTTATTTATTAAATTGCTAAGGAGAGTCATGTTCCAATTATCGTTTGATGAGCAATAGAAATAGTTTGAAAACCAAAAACTGCGAATTCTTTGTATCCGTATTATTCATATGAATGAATAAGATATTTAGGTATTTGAATTTTAGCTCCACTATTAATGATAATCGAATTTTTGCATCGCATCATTACTACATTTGTAGAATATTCTAAAGGAAAATTGTTTTCGAAGTTTTTCTTTTTTTTTCATTATTTATATATTATTGCCATAATGTCAATAATGAACTGATAGGAATAGATTCCCATAATTTTCTCTTATGGTTCATTTCGATTATCACACTTAGTGATAGAAGTCGTTACGTCTTCCTATTTCGAATCATTTCCACCATTTCGTTCTGGCAAGCATCCGAAATTTGTGTTTCTTATATTCTCTTTGTTAACATGTAATTTTGTTTCAAGTATTAGAGAAATGCTTGATAATGGTTTTTCATTGGCTACAGAATTGAACGTTTTGCAAGAGCTTATCAAACTGCCTAACTTCCTACCAAGTATCGCCAATTAAGTAAAATTTACAAATAATTTGACAATCAAGTAATTAAATGAATCGGTCAGTTGGACTTTTTTTGTTTCAGAAATATCAGCATTCTGCAGATATTTTTGACAGTATTTTCGTTTCAACGACATGATAGTCAAAGTGGTAATGGAAGCCAAGAAAGTGAATGAGTGCTACAGTGGTATTACTGAATGAGTGTTGTTACAGTGGTACTACTGAATGAGTGTTACAGTAGTACTGCTGACTGAATGCTACAATGGTACTACTGAATGAGTGATACAGTGGTACTACTGATTGAATGCTACAGTGGTACTACTGAATGAGTGTTACAGTGGTACTACTGATTGAATGCTAGTGGTACTACTGAATGAGTGTTACAGTGGTACTACTGATTGAA